TTCACAGGCAAACATCACATTTGGAAATATCTCAAACGTTATTCTGACTAAGCAATTATGATGTCAGCCAACATCCAAGAATGATTCAAGACTCTCGTCTGAATTTCAAGCATGTACACAGGCAAAAGTTAACAGTCTTTTCACTCAAGATAGGAATTTAATTTACGTACAAATAAACAGATTATATAGAATCATACTCTTAGGATATTTTAATTAAACAATGCAGACCAGCGCTTACAAAATAGTAGAAAACATCACCTGAATGCAGACCTTTGGAAGAATTATATACTCAGACAAGAAGAAAATGGATTAACAACGAATAAAGTCAGAGAGGTTAATTATCCACACTTTTATCCTTCAGATCAGAACAACTGAAATAACAACACTAGGAATCCTGATGTGAGTATCAGCAATGAAGGCTTAGTGATCGTCAAACCACTTGCGGTTTGTTCAGGACATTCAAGGCCTTCTTTCCCCTCACGGCACATATTGGCGAATAGGCCAGGCGGGTATTTGCCATACAAGTTTATGTAGCTGAACATGGTTGAAGCGCAATCAGTGGTGAGGTCATTTAGTTTATCCGCGAAAGGGCAAGCAAATTCCTTGAGAGCATCACAACAACCTTTGGTTGGGTACAGGGGTCCTTTGCACTTGCTTGTGAGGATTGTGTAGTTCTTGTGCTCAAAGTCTTCAGAGCAAGCTGCATGGTCATGACATTTGACATATCATATCAGTTTGGAAGTAAAATGACCATGATATAGGGGAAAAAATGAAAGTAAAATGATCATATGAAGATCTTCAAATCAAAAGCCTCCCTGCTATATCAAGTTTATAATGAAGAAAAAGAAAGGGGATAAAAGCAACTAAGACAATGCAAGACATTTAAGCTCATTAATAATTTGATGAATATGGAAAACAAATACAATTCCACACAGGAAAATTTTCTGTTTTTTATCCTTCAGAAAGGGAACATACCCTTTTTGGCCTGAAGGAGGTTGCGTCCAGTAGTTCCATGAGATTCAAAGGCACCATCTGCATGCAAATTAAACAATTACTAAATGTCATGTTGAATCAAAATATGTATAACTTTTCTTATGAAACATTGTTGATGTGCTTTAAGAATTCAAGGGAATAAATAAATAAATAAATAATTATATATAAATATATATATATATACACACACACACACAAACACACACATATGTAACAATGGACAAAGAAATGGGAGAATTACTTGAAATGTGGGTGAAAGAAGAGGCAAATCCAGCTAGAAGGAAAAACAAAATAAGATACATAGAGCTTTGTTTTAAACCCATTTCTTTCTTCTGTTTTTGGGAGACCTATAATATGATCTCCTCCTGCTCCTCACAAGGGCAACTCTCCCTCTCTTCTTTTCCTTTGGTCTCTTTGGTTTTTTTTTTTTTGACAAACAGAGAGAAAGAGAAGAGAAGAGGGGAGGAAAAAGTTGCAAAAATGTTGGGAGAGTATTTATGGCATTCGGAAACAAAACAATGCCACTCAGTCGAATGTTAATGTTATAACTTAAACGTAAGCTGAAGCTTAATTATCGGTTCCTCTTTTAAACTTCTTAAATTTAATCGTACTAATTTTAAATTCATACCATACACAAAAGTATATTTATATATAATATAAGTTTTCTTTTTAAATTATAAGATAAAGTTTATGGGTATAAACAACTTAAAAATTTATATATTTAGAATTACGTAATGTGAAACATAATAAAATATAATATAATATTTATTTTATAACATAATATAAACCTTAAGCACTTTAAAATATAAAATGAAATTGAAATTAAAATATCATACATTCAATACCATACACAAAAAACAATTAATATATATATATATATGTAGGGATAGATCCTAAAACAAAAAATTATGTCATAAATATAAAAATATTAAGAAAACGACTAAATTTCAGAATAATTTTATTATTTGAGATTTGTTTTGTTTTCCAAATGAAGAATATGAGAAAGCCAATCCTAACTCATATGCTAGAAACAATGTGAATAGTTTTTCTAATCAAGCATGACTAAATATTATTATTATTTTTAGTTGAACTTTGAAGAGTGAAAAAAATTAATAAATAAAATTAATTAAGAGATATAAGCTATTAAAAATAAATGTTATTAATTTAAACATAATTAAATTAAATTAAGAATTAAAATTAATTGAGTGATTCAATTTATTAAAAGTAAATATAATTAATTTGATTTATTATTTCTTTTAGTTGAACCAGGGTGAACAAAAAATAATAAATAAAATTAATTAAGAGAGATATAAGCTATTAAAATAAATTAATTAATTTAAGCATGATTACATTAAATTAAAAATTAAAATTAATTGAGAGATTTAATCTATTAAAAGCAACTTTAATCAATTTGGTCACAATCAAATTAATTAAAAATAAAAATTGATTGAAAGAGAAATTTAAGCTATTAAATATAGATGAAATTAATTTGATCAAAATCAAATTAAATTAACTCATTAAGTAATGGGTACATGATAATTATTTTAACTTATCCACATTTAAAAAAAAGAAAATACTATCCAAAAAACGTTAAAAACTTTAACTTTTATATATTTATATAGGATTAAAAATAAATGTAATTAATTTAATTAAAGTTAAATTAAATTAAAAATTAAAATTAACTGAAAAATATTTAATCTATTAAAGTAAATATAATTAATTTGGTTAAAATCAAATCAATTAATAACTAAATTAATTAAGAGATAAATTTAAGCTATTAAATATAAATACAATTAATTGGTCAAAATCAAATCAAATTAAATCAAATTGAAGAAATTAAATAATGGATACATGACAATTATTTAAGGTTATCCACATCTAAAACCTTAAACTATCCACATGACAGTTATCTTTTTTTGTCAAAAAATGTCTTTTATATATTTATATAAGATATATAAAATCCTTGTCCTAGAAAGGCGGCCAAAGGTATAATTGAATTATGGTCAGCTCGAAAACTATTCAAATATTTCCCGGCGGAGAAGGGAAAAGGGCCACCTAAATGAGATAATGCAGCAATTCTTTTGACAGTCCAATACATACTGCAGACCCAACCAATGTTGCACTATTATGTGAAGTTTCTTGAAGCATGAACCAGAAGAAAGCAACTACTACATTCCAAATTACCAAGAACAAAAACATTCATGACTTTTACCCCTTCTGCTCCGCATATAGAATGTTTCTTTTTGGTCGATTTCCTTCTTCTTTGGGTTTCAACAGGACAGACTGATATCTTATTGGTGACAAAAATGCAGCAAATACAGCAGGGTAGCAGTCAAATATGGCTCAGCTTGTTACTTGATGGTTGACCATATCAGTTTGTACTTATCATTGCAATTGAATCTAAACATAGAAAACCTGTAAAAGTGAAGAAACGATGTTAATGTTCAGAAAATGGTTATTTGAAGAGAGCACTTGACCTTAATTAAAAAGGATAGGGGATAGGAACTGGAGCCATAAGTATCAGTTATAGTTAACCTTGTTTGTCCAGCACATTAACGCTTGGAGTCCAGTCAAATAATGGAAAAATTAGCAGTAATCAACATAACAAATTCATACCTGAATAAATGGAGTAACCTTGCTTCTGCTCACTAGGACTAGTATAATTAAATCAGTTAGCTTTGTTAACAAATGTTCCTGGAATGTCTTACTTTACGGGTGATGGACCTTCCCATCCGAAGGCGTCGAGCTGTCAGTGCTTCTAGCAGAACAATTAAAGCATCCTCCACTGCCTCAGCCTGTTTATCCAATCCATAGGAGCTATACTCTGGAAGAAGCTGCAGCTCAGCAAGAACACCAATGGCTGCTGCTGCTGTACAAGTATGGTCCCATGATGGTTGAGGTCTGCCTCCAAAAAACATAGATGGTTACTATATACTTCAACTGAAGCAAAGAAGTTAAGAATCAAAATAAGAAGCAGATGCCTATGAAATTCAACAAACCTATGGAAAGCAACTGGTTTACACCTTACCGAAGTTTATGCATCGCAGATGCACCTACAGCAAGAGATATACAAGGCAGGTCTTCCTCTCCCCAGACAAACTTTGCTTGCTCCTACAGATAACATATCCATCAAATTCTCAAATAGCAGTCCAAGAATTTTAAAATATAGGTTCAAGTCAAATTTAAAAAGAAATAGGTTCAGTCATTATTAGATAAAGGCAGAACCATGTCTTATTTTGATTTTGAAACAGGCACCATAGAAGCAAAGGCCAATGGTATCACATTTCACAGAACTTCCAGCATCATGTATGAAAAGTTTCGTACTATTATAGGTCCATCATGAAGGCTAAATTTCTGTGGCATCTAAAGAGTACAGATAGAGTCATAGTTGACATTTATTGTTAATAAATAATGATATTATAACCCATAACCCAAAACACAATTTATTGACAAAAGCAAAGGTAAAATGAAATACTTAATCAAATACCTTTAGGCGCCTGAACATTGCTGCAGAATTGCTCCATGTACCATCAATTAGAACAAAATTCAGAGGTCTATCTCTATTTGTCTGTGAAATGCAACCAACATGAAAATTTACCCCCCCAAAAAAAAAGAAAATCTAGTTGAAATAACTTGAAAAAAGAGGTAACAGATTACAAGTAAACATATCCAATTTTACCTGAGATGTGTTAATGCAAGAGCTTTGTGCACTTGGCTACAATTCTTTTTCTAATTTAAGATGTTTCAATCATTTGTAAGATACAATCCCCCATAAGGTTTAAATATTACTCTTGCTGTAGTTATTTACCAAACAATACCACATGGCTTCCCCCAACACTTTACCACATATGCAGTGACTTCATGGGGAAAAGTTACTTCGACAACAAAAATTGACAGGGAAAAATTCAAAAAATGAACCAAACACAAATGCTGCAACTAAAATTGTCTTTGAAAATAGTATTTATATAACAATTCAATTGAAATTTAAAACATTTATAACATCTAAAATAACATATCACCAAGAAGTAGTTCCATGCAAATTTTTTGTAACATGTGGAGAAATACGACCTTTAGGACATTAATGAAGTAATCTCCACTCTTTCAAAATCACACATTACTTCTCAAATATCATAAAAGTAAAATAAAAATTGTATAAAGAGTGATTTAGTATGTATTATCATGTTAAGAGAACAGTACCAATGAATGTGTACATTCCAGATCTGCAGAAGATTGACTGCTAAAGGCATCCTGAGCCGTTTTTGGTGCTATATTCTGGTTTGGATAAAGGCAGCAAACCCTGGCTTTTCCTGAAATTGCCAAGAATATGATAAAACTCACTAGTATGACCTTTCTTTAGTACTGAAATGGTAAATAAAATAAACCTTAGAAGGTAGAGCATCTGCAAGAGGAGATAACAGCTCACATGTAATAATGGAGCAAATGTTAATAATAATTTTTTATCAGATAGTTTGGTAATTCTCCTTGATTCATAATCACAAATGAACAATAGAAAAAGGCAAACCCCAAAATATATGTTACCCTCAGTCAAAAAGTTCGGATGATTGCTTTTATCTTAAATGCAATAAAAGATCATTACATCACAAAGAAAAGATTTTGGATATGCAAGTAGTTATAGAAAAAAAAACACAAAGGATTATCAGTATATTATACTTCTAATAGACAAAAAGTAATTCCACCTACTCTGAAATGAGCTTTAGAACTCAACCACATGGTTCTGTAAATAATGTAACCATTAATACAGCAAAATTTCCCCTTTTTAGAAAATAAAATGAAAAGCTAAAAGAAACCTGCATCCTTAAATGCATTCCACATGATTTCCTCATCTTCAGAAATTCCATAAAGACATAAAATTGCAGCTTGAACACCAAAGACTTGCCATAGCAACTTCCCAGTATTATTCTGCCGTAGAAAATCCTGAAAAAGGAAGATTACACATTTGATGACATATACGAATATGTATCAGCAGCCTATATATCAGATGGAAAAAGAAAATTCTAACCTTTGGATGCATGTACAACCAAAACCTTATGCCATTCCATAGTGAGCAAGGCTCGACTTTTGAACACATACAATCTTCCATAGGAAGCCAACACTGAAAATGGATATAATTCATTAACAAATTATGAAAAAGACAAGGAAATTACTTCTAAAGGTTGTTCTTCTTTGCAACATATCAATAATAGCTCCGAAAAACACCACTTACCTTCTGGCAGAGGTAGCCCCGACTTCCAAGCAACCGGCATGCTATTTGTCGAGCAGAAAAGAACTGGAACTTTTTGTCTGAGTCACCTAAAGCCAGATATTTTTCTCTGTGTTTCTTGTCCTCCTGAACTTTAAAATCTCCCTGATTTTTGCAAAATGCAATAACGGAAAAGCTAGTGAAAGACATGATGATCATAGATAAGAAGACCCCATAAGAAAAAGCAATAACAGAAAGAAATGACGATGACAACAATGAAGAAAGGAACATTTCAGAAACTAAAAGGAAACACATAGTTGGCAAACTGATCAAGCATATGAAAATCATGACTACTCTATTTGCATTTATTTACCTAAGTGGGATCAAAACTTCAGTATCCATGGAACAATTCCAAAAAATAAAATACCTCTCGCAGCCATAATACTACATTCCTTGAAACGTACTTCAATCATTACATACCGGTATTTGTCCCATTTCAATTCAGACATCAAAAATCATATAGAAAAAGAAAAAACTTTTCCTTTAGATATCCAAAAAAGAAAATCAAAATGAAATACCAAAGGAAATATATATATATTATTAATGCCAAAGAAAAACGAAAAAGGTTTAATGGTGGCGAACCTGTAATTTGCCACCATTACCACCAAAAACCATGTGGGCATCAATATTATTCTCCAAAAGCTTCAAATCCCGAATGATCTCGTTTACCATTGCTGGCACTGGAGATACGCAGCCCCATCGTAGCCACTCCTCCAATGCGATGCTGCCACTGCAACCAGTATCATTTACTTCTGCTTCTCTTAGGGAAGAATGAGGAGCAAAGTTCATGATTGAGCAGTGAAGGCGTCTGGGTTGAAACTCTATGTGGATTTTGGCTGAGAATTTGAGAGATGGGAAGAATTGCGATGTAAATGTCAAAAGACACTATTGCTGGCGCCGCTCACCATGGTTTTTACATTTTATTTTTTCTATATTTTAATTCGGGCCTTCATTCGAGGCTAAAAATCTTAGGCCATGATTAACAAACAAAATGTAAGGTGGGCCTTTTTAGAATTCCATCCTCCCAAACCTAAACTAAAAAGAAAATGGAAGATTTGTAAGTGAGACCGTAGGTTATGGCGAATGGCCCTATTACAGTTTCTCTAAAAGATATTAAACCTCATAATTTAAAATATGATTATGACATAATAATAATAATAATAAAAAGTGATATGGACTTCAAGGATTACTATGTCAATAGAAGATAATGGTATATATCACCAAGATTTGATTCTTTTTGTCTAAGCGAGGAGAAAGGCCTGATGCCTTGAAATTGGAAGCTCAAAATGGTTTTTTCGAGGGACTTCAAATTCAATGTTTATCCTCAAGCTCTACCGACTTGGCTGAAAATCATCTCTACATATTTGGGATTGAAGAAACGCTTAAACAAGATTGAAATTCAATATCGTTGTCGAGTTTTACATAGTGACAGATTCATGATCTTTTTACAGTATCAATTATATATATATATTTCAATAAAATAAATAATTCTAAAATTTTAAATATTTCAATCATTATAAATTTTTTTTTTAAATCACTTTAGCTAAGAAAATTTGAATAGGAAAAAAAATCTTAACTCTTGGAAAAGTATTGGAGGAGATCTTTCTTTTTAAATTGTGAATTTTTGACAAAAACTTTTTTTTTTGTATGAAAGTTGGCTTTAAACTTTAATTTACATCAATTTTAGAGGTTTTTTTTTTTTATCTATGGATTTATTTAGGAATCTTTTTAATTCACAAAGAGTTTCACTTTTTATGGTGAGGTTGTAAACAAAAAAAAAAAAAAAAAGGTTGATAGGCAATGGCTGGACTTAACCCATCATAGGGTCCACCTTCATTCAAAAAATTTTTTCCTCTCTACCCTTTTCTTTGTGCAATTTTGTTGATAGCATTCTCTTTCTCCTAACAAGAAATTAATAAAAAGGTAAAATCATGTTGAATGAATCAATACCAATTGTACCTTCTTTAATTTGGGCTTCGATATGGAGCTAGTTTATTCTAACTATTTTTTGAGTTCCTTGATCTTGCAATTGATACCATTTATTTTACTTGCAATTTGTGTCTCCTTTCCTCTTAACTCATTAAAAGCTGTCTCTCTTTGTGTAAATACAATTTATCAAAGTAATTTAGTAACTAGATGCATGGTTATGCAAGAAAGTCCGATGATGGAAAACAAACCCAGGTAGAAAGAAAACTAAGGGTAAAAGAGAAGTCAAAGGTTGATTTGACATTATAAATTTATATGACAAATAAGTATCCTACTTTGCAAAATAAACATAAAAATTTTTAATGACCTTGTTTTCGATAAAAACTCCTATAGTAGTAGTGATCCATAAATTTGGTAGTCTTACAAATAAATAGATGAACCAAAGGCATAGCCTGGACCCTCTTGCTTCTTTTATGTAGTTTTACTTTCTACATAAAATAGTTGGTCAAATAGTATCAACTTTTATTAGTATTAGCTCAAAATTTAAAATTTAGTTTATATATATATACATATATATTACTTATATTATTTTGATTTGATAATTTTATTTCAATAACTAATTTTGTTAAAGTTTTGCTATTAAAAATATTGACATGACCTTTGAATTAATGATACAAGTATTGATTTTGCTAACTTGTCAACTTGGATTATTACAATCAATTATCGAATTATGCAAACACAATTAATTACTCTTCGTTAATTTTCTTGACATGATCAGTGATTTTTTGGAAAAATATTAGAAAAGTTTTTGAAAATTCTAGAAAAAATCTAAAAAATTTAAAAAAAATTCCAAAATTAAAAAAATCTGATTTTTTAAATGATTTGTTAGAAGTTTTAAAACATTAAATTTAATTGTTTCCAATATTGTTTCAAATCATATATTTAGAATTAAAAAAAATTATATTTTAAGTTTTTAATAAATTCAAAATTTTTCCTTTTTTTTCAAATTAAAATTCATTTTTCCAATATTTTAATTTTATTAACAACAAATATATTTTATTTTTTTAAAAATAAACATTTCAATTTTTATAAATAATTTTCAGTTTTTTGAAATTTTCCAAAATTTTAAAATATTAGGTTTAATTTTTTTCATTAATTAATTAAAAAAATCATATTTTTTTGAATTTTTTCATAAAATTAAATTATTATTTTTCAAAACAATTTCAATATTTTGAAATATGTTTTTAAAAAAATTTAATTTTTTGAAAATTTTTTATTTTTTTAAATTTAAATTTTATTATTTAAAAAAAAAATTTTAACTTTTTATAAAAAATTTTAAAATATTGAAAATCAAATAAATTTAATTTTTTATAAAATTTAAAATTTTTCAAAAAAATTAAAAATATTGAAACATTTTATTAAAAATAAATTTTGATTTTGTTAAAAAAATTCAAAAAATATTATTTTGGAAAAATGAAAATTTGAAATTTGAAATTTTTAAACAAATTGAAAATTTTTAAAATGTTCTAAAAATTGAAGATTATTTTTTAAAAAATTCAAAATCTTATTTTTAAAATATAAAAATATGGAAAAAATAAATTTAATATTTTATGATTTTTTTTTTAATTTTGTAATTTTTTTTAAAAAATTAATGGTCACTTCAATAAAATTAACAGAGATTAATTGATCGCATTAATAATTCGATCAATATTATCAAATTTGATTTATACAATTGCGAGAATTTTATAAATTATATTAAAAGTACTAAAAATTAAATTTCATGAGAGTAAAGGGATTAATTGCACAATATGATAATTGATTTTATCTATTCAAAGTTAACGTTATGTAAACAAAGTTAATGGCTACATTATCAAATCAATGGCCATTTCAATATTTTTAAGTGCAAAAATTTGATGAAATTAATTATTGGATTAATATTATTAAATTAAAATAGTTTGAAGATTTCATTGAAATGAAAATTAATTGAATATTAGCAGTCTTTTTATATGTTACTGTAGATACTATAGCAGACTAAAATTTGTCTATTGGCTATCTCAAGCTCCAAACCAAGCTGTCTTGTCTTATCGATGCTTTTGTTGGAAGTTTATTCTGGATTAGAATAGCTTATCATACTTGAATATTAACTAGATTAACCAATTCTTTATCTTCTAGATTAAAAGATTGTGGAGAATTAATTATGGACTTATTCTACATCTACCATCCTTCTTGATATTGAAATACAAAATGTTGAAGGTGATCAATATCTTTCATTTCAGAGAGTTTCTTTAGTAGCTCCACTGCTTCTAGTTCTACTAGAAGATCTTGATAGCCAGTGGCAGAATAAGCTTTTTTAACAAAGATTCTTTGTCCAGATGTTTGAGCAGAGATTTTTGGATAGGATGAATAAGTAACTTATGTTAAAATTTTTTTTGCATATTCCATCATTGAGATTTCTGTTTGGAAATGATATTTGGAAGGACTGGAGTATTTTGAAATTGCTTGGTTTAGCAATTCTAAGTTTCCAATACCATCCATTGGGGGTTTCAGAGGTGGTCCAGACATCAATTTTTCAACCTACCATATTTGATATGGTTGAAAAAATCTTTCTATTTGAAAAATTCCAAGGAAGCTGTGAATTTGAAGATGGATGTAAAAGAAATGCTTGTCGTTTTTACGAACTTGGCAAATTTAGATTTTATGAAAGTTGAAAAATATGTATGATGATGAAGGAAAAAATTTTGGACTATTGTTCGCCCTACTATTCCCAATTCAATGCTTGTTGCATGAAAGGGTTCATAGTCTAGCTTAAATTTAATTTTTGAATATGATCAACTAAATTTGTCATTTTCAGATATGTGAAAAATAATATTCTGAAAATTTTTCATATAATAGTTTTTCTGTTTCATGAAAGATAGAGTGATTGATGCGTAGAAATATTTTTTTGGGTAAGAATATTGTGCCTTTTTCAAATAATAAAACTCTTTTTAGTTTTATTATTTGAGAGGAATTCTTATAATCAAAATATTCATAAAGATCTAAAAAATTATTTATTTCTTGGATTGAATATTGGTTTTCTTCAATAGCAAAAAAATCTATATCTTGCTCTTTTAGCAAGTTAGATGAACATAAATTTTGGAAAAACCAATTCATCAAATAACTGCTTTTCATTAGTTTGTTTAACTAAGAAATCGACTAGTTTGAACATCCCTTTTCTAAATTATGATTTGTTTTGTGAAAGATGGGATTTCCTAATATTATTAAGCATAATGTAAATTTCTGATGGAAGACCAAAATTATAGAAATATTTTATTTCTATGTCTGTCATTTTTGAATCTTTCAACAGGTTTTCTATTGATTTTGCTATTTCAGAATATGAAATAGTTGTCCATTGGTTTGGATCTTGAGAGAAAGGAGAAAAATTTTTAAAAATCTACATTACTGGTTGTATTGCAGTTTCTTGATGAAAAATATAAAAAGGTCTTTGAGGAATTTGTTATGGATGATATCCTCTTGGAGGGTAGAGAAGTGGTGTATATCTTGGTTTAGGATATTGTTTATTATTAGATGATGAAGAAGAAGATGAAACCTTTTTGGTTTGTTTCTTTTGGATAGTTCATCATTCTTGCTGATTTAGAGGTTTTTTACCTCTATCTATTCGGCCTGCTAAGATAATTTGTAAGAAAATTTTTGTCACCATTAATAAATTGAATAGTAAAATTGTATTGATATAAGAAACTATACTACCTAATCCTTCTTGGATTAGTTTCAATTTTTTTTTTTTTAAATCTCTGACTGATTGATTATCAGTTCTAATGGTAAAATGTTCCAGTGCCAGAAAAATATGAAATATTGTAATAGCACTTTTTTATGGCTAATAATTCTTTTTCAAATATAATGTATTTGAGCTCATTTTGTTTAAACTTGCTAGCATTATAACCGCAAATAAATTTATTGTTTTGAACTTTTGCTTTTAAAACACATCCCCAGTGTTCATCTGAGGCGTCTGTCTCTAAAATCAAATAGTCAGCTTGTTTAGGTAAATACACTTTAGGAATATTAATAAGTTTGGATTTTATCTATTTGATAAAATCAGAATTTTGATTTGTTCAAGAAAAATCTACATCTTTTTTGAGTTTTTCTTGTAATAATTTTTCTTTTTTTGAGAGATTTTTGAAAAATTATCTCCCATAGTTAAGAAGACCAAGAAATTGTTGTAAATATTTTTTTATTTTCCAGTTGCTCTAGAAAATCTTTTAATTTTGAAATAAATGATCTTAAAGAGTAAGACTATA